GCCATGTGAATTTGTAAATTTAGTGGTCCAATATTCGAATATTTGAAACCACTTTTCAAGTGGTTGATGACCTATACAAAATATTAATATTTCAATTGAACATGATGTGGTCCATATCGTTATCTTAATTTTTAAAATTATAAAATGAGTATGGACCACACCATACACCAAAATGATCGCTTAATGTATTTTAATTCACTTAATTATGTATTAAAAATGAAATTATCCAAGTTATAATCTAGTTTCTAAATTTCATGTCAAATTAGGTTACACAATGCAACAAATCCTTCTTTCATTTCATTCTCATATATCTATTCAATTGTCAATATAACTTCAAAAGACATAAAAAGCATCCAATCCAAACAAATCAACACTAATTAATTCTTTAGTGTGTTTCTAGATAATTATTAATTTAACCTAATTTGAATCCCTTTGTCATGATTATTAAGAAATAATTGATGACCAAACCATATAAAAATACTACAAATAAAGAGTGACACTCACATTTTGAAAGACCTTTTTTGGTGTTGAAATAAACAGGGTTTAGCTTTTTAGTCAATAAACCTCTTTTTCCTAAATAGATTTAAAATATCAATTTTCTAAACAATTAGGCATGGCTCTCAACTTGATTGATCAGCTCTCGACTCACTATTTGATCCGATTAAATTCGACATAAACATTTCGTGCATTTTATTATTACTCCTTCAACCAACTCCATTGTTAGTACCTTCCCACTTGTGTGGTCCAAAAAATATTAGGGACAACTAAATCTCCTTGCATTCTTCCCCTTCCACATAGATTTATCAAAATTAACTTTCACAACCAATAGATTTATACTTTACACAAACTGAAAGAAAGGGGAAATCTTCCAAACCTCTGCATATAAGAAAAGTGCTCCACATTGATATCCTTCAGTAGTAAATGCAAAATAATATCAGAAACTAACCTGCACATAATTGAGCTCTTGTTAACTCTTTGAGCAAATTCATCAAAAAACGCAACATCACTTGTAATTATTTCAACATATTTATCTACGTGGAAGCCTACACCTTTTATAAGATAAAAATCCAGCCATGTAGCTTTTTTAATACTAAGTGTTTACACCTTCACAACAACCTAGCCAAAGTACTTCAATTGAGCTTTGTACAGTTCACCTAGACTGGCAGTAGCAATCAGAGAAACAGATATTGATGAATAAACAGAATTGAATGGAAGTCCCAACTCTCTCTCGATACATGTAAATGCTTCTTCATCTAAAAAAGTTGGCAAAGCATTCAGCTCCATCACAATAATGGCGATGAGGATTATATAACAAAAGAATTATTAAATAAGTTCATATAAGTTTCATTACCCAGTAGTAATGAACATTTATGGAGAAAGTCCCAAGAACATACTCAACAAATTACGCCGGGTACAGAAGAAAGTGAAAATTTGATCAATCTCTATTCTATCCATGACATAACCCGTTGCTTTTGTCCCCTTTACTCATCCAAAGATGCTAGCAAAAAATTCTCTCCAGACACAACTCAAATTTCTCTTACTCAATGGAAATGGAGCCTAAAATTGAAATTAAATCATAAACAAGTATAAATAAACGAAATACCTACGATTCAGAGAGCTCCTTGAGGTATGCTAGTGAACACAAATAATGACGGTGTGCGCGTTGGATAATAACTGAAAAGTAATCATGCTTAAACCATATATTAATGACACCACAACACGTAGAAAATGTAGATGATTTACATGAGAAGACGAAATTTAACTTGTTCCACAGCATTAAATAAATCGTAAGCACCAGTGGAAAACTAAAAATTTGAATAAAAAATGACACTAGAAAATTAACTGAGGCATACAAACAGCAATCGATGACTCCCTAGTCATTTCATATCAAAGTAATATAAACTGAAAGATAAATTAAAGCAAAAGTACTGGGTCAATAGCTCAAAAAGGATCTAATTTATTATCTGTGTGAGATGTATGCATTCTTGCTAAAAACTACATTGTAAATATCATGTCTACCATAGTCTACAAAAAATGATGATTACATATTCCAAAAGCATAATTAAGTGAAAATCGGTTAAGTAGAATGATCAATCCTCTAGTCACCAAGAGCTCCTCTCACTAGTATCCTTCTTTGCTAAAATTGAAGAATGAATATATGATCTGCATCTTGAACTATGGATATAGACAAATCTATATGTCTTTTCCTTAATAATCATATCCTTCTTAAAAGTTTTGATACCCCATATTCTGAAACACATAAAGGTCTCTCCGTACATTTTTTGGTATGCTCGAAGAAACTTGATTAGAGATAAACTTTCTCATGACAATTCTAGCAACTTAACAAGTTGTCCATTCAAATCATTTAGATCTCTAGGAGGTTGTACTTAGAAGGTCAACCTATTATGCTCACTAGAAGCAAATGTACATGTTGAAACTTTTTCTAGCGTACATATTGCTTTTACTTCTTCATTTGAACGAGATATCGCTGCTTTATCCCGGTGCACAAATCCTTTCCCAGGGGCCTTGCTAGACTAGTCCCATAAATAGCTGCATGCATTCCTTAGAGTGAACGAGATTTTCACCCAAAATGTAATAACAATAATTGTGTATCCACATTGATTTAGAACATAAAGTGCAGGAGCAAAATCTGTCTCCTGAAATTAACAAGATAGATGATGGTTGGCGATTATCCAAAGCAAAAAGGAACATATCTACAAAAACTGCCTTATCGGCAGCATCCTTCCTATCGTTGGGAACGTGTAGAAATTTGATATCGATCACCTGACACCCCTCTCTTATTCGTCTCAAAATTGCATTAAAATCTTCGTATACTGAAAACACGGCCACTGGTTCATTAATTGTAGGATGGGCTCATAAACTCATCCTAATGTTACCAGTAATATACTCTTAACGCATCTTTTGGCATGGAACAGTTCTCAATGTCCCAAGGATGGCTACAAGACTCTATAGTGACAGAAATTTAAAAGCAATAGACATTAAAATAATCGTGTAACAATTTATATCAATATTATTAAGGGTCATCTTGATAAATCCATGTTGACTAGTATCACTAATATGCCTCTTTTTTCTGCAACTCTTGGTTTATTTTCCTGAACTTTGAGATTTTTGCTTCCAGTTCTAAGGTATATTCCTTCATAATGCCATCGACATTAAAAAATTCATCAACAACGTATTCCAATAAGTTGCAGAAAATGTCCCAACTCAAGTGTTAAAAATATACAGTGCCATCTAACTATGGTGAAATAGAGAATATCTAGATATTATATATTAGTTCAATTTCTCATCACTTTTTCAAGTCACATGAGGATTATTTTTTATCAGCTGATATTACATGATTATTTTAGTGACTGTTGCTTTTAAATTTCTGTCAATACACGATCCTATTGCCATCTTTTGGGACATCGAGAATTGTCCATGCCAAGAGATGTGCATCCAGAGGATATTGCTGGTAAAATTAGGATGGATTTACAAGCTCATCCCACAATTAATGAACCAATGACTGTATTTTCAGCAGACGAAAATTTTAATACAATTCCGAGGCGAATGAAAGACGAACGTTAGGTAACCGATATCAAATTTGTACAGGTTCCTAATGGGAGGAAGGATGCTGCCGATAAAGCAATTTTGATAGATGTTCCTTTTTGTTTTAGACAATCGACATCCATCATCTATCTTGTTAATCTCGGGGGAGTAGATTTTGCTCCTACATTTCATATTCTAAGTCAACGTAGATATACAATTATTGTTGCTATTCCATAATGGATGAAAATATCATCCACTCTGAGGAATACAGGCAGCTATCTATGAGACTGGTCTAACGTGACCCCTGGGAAAGGGTTTGTGCACAGGGATAAAAAAGCTATACCTCGTCCAAATGAAGAAGAAATATCAACTTATACACAAGGCAAAGTTTCGACAAGTACCCTTGCTTCTAGTGAGCATAATGAGTTGACCACCAAGTACAACCCTGAGAGATCTAAATGATTTGAAAAGATTTGTTAAGTTGCTAAAATTATTAGGGGGAAGTTTATCTCTAATCAAGTTTTCTCGAGCATACCAGAAAATATATGGGAGGTCTTTGTGTTTTTCAGAATATGAAGTCTCAAAATTTTCAAGACTTCTAAGAAGGATGTATGATTTGTTGATCGAGGGAAAAGACAGATAGATTTGTCTATCTTTGTAGTTCAAGATGCAAACCATATATTCCTTCTTCAATTTAGCAAAGAAGGATACTAGATAGAGGAAAGATGACTAGATGATGAGGACATCCCAGTCCAGTTTTAATTATTCTAGCAATTTTAATTATTTTAGTTGGATTTAGGTTATTTTAATTTTATGGACTTGTGTATTGGGCTTGGCCCTAGGTTTGCAATATTTTCCAGTATTTAAACCTATTTTACATTGTTATTTTTCAGTTGATGAATTAATTGAATAAAGTTGGCTGCAGCCTCTACGTTTCCCCCCCTCCCCCAACATTTTCCCCTTCTTCTCTTCTCTCCTTTCTCCTCCTTATTTCTTGTTATTCACCCTACATTAAATTGGTATCAAAGAAAACTTGGGAAAATATTTAGGTGTTCACTGCGAGGCTCAAAGTTCGTTTCAGCAGAATCCAATTTCACGCCTTCACCACTTCTGTATATGTTCCCGTCCACTGCAACTTCACAAAATCAGACAAACCAATCCCAATTTCGACGGCAGTTCCCACTCCTACACCAGAAAAGTTTAATTCCAGAAAACCAGAAAATTTTAATTCCCATATAAACCAACCAAATACACAGCCCTCAACGACAACACACCGCTGACAGAATTCTAACGGCAACAGGAGGCAGACGCACCACCCAAAGCCAGCCGCCAATTTTCCAACATCGGCAGTACAACAAACACTAACAGGCGTCGTCTTTTTTCGCAGTTGTGGCCATTGTAACTGATTCACAAGCTCGCCGAATCCACCGCAATGAGAATCGCAATCTACTGACATGCAGCAACTACTGGACTCTTCACACTACTACAGCCGCCGCCGCAACCAACAAAACTACCACAGCTGCCGGTCGCCAGTCGCTCCTCACAGCACCGTGACTCCCACGGCGCCGCCAGACAGTAACTCCAGAGGCCGTGCAGTGGATATATAGTGGGCGGGTTTATCACTTGGGTTTGGGATTAATTGGTGTATTCGTTTATCACTTGGGTTTGGGATTAATTGGTGTATTCGTTTATCACTTGGGTTTGGGCTTAAGTGGTGTATTAGTTATCAATTGGGTTTGGACTAATTTTCAATCGGGCTGGGTTATTTGTATTGCTTGGGCTTGGGCTTGGGCTTGATTGAGATTTTGAGTGTGATTTAGGCCCAAATTTTGTGAAATGGGCCCATTTATTATTTTGTTATTCTGATTTTGTATTATTTAAAAAAAAGTCAAAAAAAAAGAAAAAAAAGAGTCAAAAAAAAGAGGAGTTAAAAAAAAGTATCGAGAATTTTTGGGTATTTCCTGACATTTTTTATAGGTGCATTATTTTCTCGACGAATACGGAATTTTCTATCTTGGCATCTCAACGCTTAACAGTTCAGAAAGTGGAGACATTCGACGCTAGGACGACTCGGGCCAACTGAACTCAAGGAGTCTCTGACCCTATTCATTTAAGTGACACGGTTACTGTATTTTAGAATTGCATCAATAATTCTTTGTGTTGCTAATATTTTGATAATTTAGCCTTAAATCTATTGGATTGAAATTCACGAGCCGACCCCATTGTTCACTCGTTTACCCCACGTGACTAGACCTAGCATTTGTACCTTTGTTTTTTTTATTTTATTGGCATTAGTAGTATTAGCTTGCGATCGGGCCGTACGTAATCCCTACAATAAAATAAAATAATAATAATAACAATAAATAAATTTCGGTCACTATTTTCCCTGCTAGCACTCGTTGGTTATTGATCTCAGTAGACACTTCACCTAACTTGTGTTACCATGTATGCAATTGCGTAGTGGTCGCGTTACTGCATCTAGCTCTAGTACCGTTGCCATGGACCCTTCCCACATTGAGGCTATCACCCGACAGTTGGCACAATTACAAAATCAATTAACGACTGTCCAAACTGAGTTAGCCGCTACGCGTGAGGATAATAGAGCCCTAACCGCTAGGGTAAACACTCTTGACCTAACCCAATACTCAACTGAGACTGAAAATTCTGACGCTTCCATTAATAGACCTCATCGTCGTCCACAAGGTGGTCGACACCATGCTAGACATGATCGTAGGGAAGGAAATCAAGCTCGTGGACGCGAGCGGGAATATCATCGTCATGGTACACTATCCCCCCCTCGCCACAAGGAGCGCCTCTTTCGAAATATTAAGTTAGATGCCCCGACATTTGATAATTGTCTAGATCCTAGCGTATTCAATCAATGGGTTAGGGATATGGATCGCTTCTTTGCCTGGTATGGGTCCCTGGAGATCGAAGGGTACAATTTGCCAGTTTGAAATTAACTGACACAGCTCAACTGTTTTGGGAAAGCGTTGAGGACCTCCTAGAGAGGCGTCATGCTTCCCCTATTGGGAATTGGGATGAAATGAAGCGTCGCTTTGAAGAAAAATATTTACCTCAATCTTACAGGGGCAACTTGCTGGATCAATGGAACGCACTTACACAAAGCAATCGACCTGTGACCGAATATGTTGCCCAGTTTGACGAGTTTCGAATGAGATGTCAGGTCGTTGAGGACGAAGTCATGACTTTAAGTAGGTTTAGGCACGGCCTACGGGATGATCTTAGACGTGAGCTTGTTCTTCGAAGTGTCACCACTCTTGACCACGCCTACTCTTTCGTTCGGGATTATGAGTTAGTGACTAGGACACCGTACAGAAGTCATAGTGACTCCCGCACTGCAACCTCTTCTGCATCCACTCCATCCCCTAAGTCTATTCTAGGACCTCCTCCTTCTAATACTACCCCTACATCGGATAGTATAGGTAGAGGTTCTGAGGTTTCAAGAATGTCCTCTCGTTTGTAATGCTTCAACTGTAAGGGTTTTGGTCACATTGCTTCTAAGTGTCCTAGCCGAGCCCTAGTTTTGGAAGAGCGTGAAGGTATAGTTGACGAGCCACTAGAGGATCAGGTGTATGAGCCTAAGTTAAAAGAGTTTGATGACTTTGAGGATAGTGAAGATACCTTCTTGGGTTGTATCCAGGCTAGTCCCCTTATCCCACATACACCTAGAGTCGGTGTCGTCCGTTGTACTCTTACCCAGCCGAGGGATGCCAATGATTGGCGCCGTCATGCCATCTTTCACACTTACATCAAGATTAATAATAAGGGCTGTAAAGTCATCGTGGATAGTGGCAGCTGCATTAATGCGGTTTCGATGGCTACTGTATCCCATCTAGGGTTGAAGTCTGTTCCTCACCCTCAACCATACAGCGTCTCTTGGGTTGATACCTCATCCATAGCTGTCAAGGAGCGTTGTTTAGTCCCTATCCAGTTTCTCGAGTATAAGGACCATATATGGTGTGACATCATTTCAATGGACGTCGGGCACATCATCTTGGGACGACCTTGGTTATTTGACCTAGATGTAACCATCTATGGTCAATCCAATTCCTGCTCCTTCGTGTTTAATGGAAAGAAGATTCACCTTAACCCACTGCCTCCGAAGCCTGTTGGCCCACTGGAAACGAAGAAAAGTGTGGAACGAAATGGATTGCATATCATTAGTCCTACGGAGTTTGAGCGTACACTTGTTGGTGACTCAGTTGTCTTCGCTTTGGTGGTCATGGAGGTCCCATCACACTCCGCAATAGAGAGCCCTGTTGAAGTCCTATCGGTCATCCAAGAGTTTCGAGACGTCTTTCCAGAGGACCTCCCTGATCAACTACCTCCACTAAGGGATATTCAACATGCCATAGACTTCGTTCCGGGGGCATCCCTCCCAAATTTGCCTCATTATAGGATGAATCCTACCGAGCACGCTGAACTTCAAAGGCAAGTGGATGATCTCTTTCACAAGGGATTCATTCGTGAGAGTTTAAGCCGGTGTGCAGTCCCCGCCCTATTGACGCCCAAAAAGGATGGCTCTTGGCGAATGTGTGTGGATAGTCGCGCGATCAATAGGATCACGGTGAAGTATAGTTTTCCAATTCCTAGACTTGACGATATGTTAGATATGATGGTTGGTGCCACAATCTTTTCAAAGATTGATCTGAAGAGTGGATACCATCAAATTCGAATTCGCCCAGGTGATGAGTGGAAGACCGCGTTTAAGACGAAAGATGGTCTTTATGAATGGCTGGTCATGCCTTTTGGGCATAGCAATGCGCCAAGTATCTTTATGCGAGTAATGACACAAACTCTCCGACCTTTCATGGGTAAGTTTCTTGTTGTCTACTTTGATGATATCCTCATCTATAGTAAGACTAAGGAGCAACACCTTGACCACCTCACGCAAGTTTGCTCTACCCTTCGTGCAACTAATCTATATGCGAATGTCAAGAAGTACTCCTTCTTCACTGATACAGTCGTTTTTCTGGGGTTCATTGTCTCTTCGACAGGGGTATCCGCTGACCCTGCTAAGGTTCAGGCGATTATTGACTGGCCTAAGCCCAAAGTTATTCATGACGTCAGGAGCTTTCACGGCTTAGCTACGTTCTACCGTCGCTTTATTAAGGGATTTAGCACTATTATGGCGCCTATTACGGAGTGCATGAAGAAAGGGGAGTTTCATTGGACACGAGAGGCGGCTAAGGCCTTTAAGTTAGTCAAGAAGTGAATGACGGAGGCCCCTGTCATGCGTCTTCCCGATTTTTCCAAAGTCTTTGAAGTTGAATGTGACGCCTCCGAGGTAGGTATAGGCGGAGTCTTAAGTCAGGATCGTCACCCTGTTGCCTAGTTCAGTGAGAAGTTAAATGAGGCCAAATAGCAGTACTCAACTTATGATAAGGAACTGTATGCAGTGGTCCAGGCTTTGCGCTATTGGCGCCACTATTTGTTACCCCAGGAATTTGTCCTTTATTCGGATCACGAGGCCCTCCGTTACCTCAACTCCCAGAATAGATTAAGTTCTAGGCATGGTCGTTGGGTCGAATATTTACAGGCCTATTCATTTGTTTTAAAACACAAGAAGAGCGTAGAGAACCAAGCAGCTGATGCGTTAAGTCGTCGTGTCTCCCTTTTGTCGATCATGAGTGTCAAGGTCATCGTTTTTGAAAGACTTAAGGAAGATTACGAGGCGTGTCCCGATTTTAAAGATATCTTTCTCGATTTACAAAGAGGACAATCAAGCGCCACAGATGGCTTCCGACTTGAGGAGGGTTATCTCTTTAGAGCCAATAAATTGTACATCCCTTGAACTTCAGTGCGAGATTTCATCGTGTGGGAAATTCATGCGGGAGGGTTAGTCGGTCATTTTGGACGTGATAAGACCATAAAGGAAGTTGAACGTCAATTCTATTGGCCTAGCTTGAAGAAAGACGTGGCTAAAATTGTTAGTACTCGTAACACTTGTCAATTGAGTAAGCAGAAGAAGCAAAACACAGGTCTATAGACCCCTCTCCCTGTCCCTAATTGTCCTTTGCAAGATATTAGTATGGATTTTGTGTTAGGACTTCCACGCACCCCAAAGAAGTATGACTCCATTTTTGTGGTTGTCGATCGCTTCTCAAAGATGGCTCATTTTATCCCCTGTAGCAAGACGTCGGATGCGTCCAAGGTTGCCCTGTTATTCTTTAATGAAATTGTCAAATTGTATAGGCTTCCCAAGACCATCATGTCTGATAGGGACGTTCGTTTCACTAGCCATTTTTGGAGAACTTTGTGGCACAACATGGGTACCAAATTGAAATTTTCTACGGCCTACCACCCTCAGACTGACGGTCAAACTGAAGTAGTTAATCGAAATCTTGGTAACCTATTACGTTGTCTGGTTCGGGAAAACCTTCGAAATTGGGATTTGATCCTTCCTGTAACTCAAATTGCGTACAATAGCTCTATAAATCGTTCACTAGGTATGAGTCCATTTGAAGCCGTTCATAGGTACAAGCCTAGGAAATCGTTAGATCTCATCCCTATGTCCCCACAGGCTAGAGTATCAGTATCAGCCGAAGCATTTGCACAACATCTTCATGACTTGCATATTGAGATCAATAAACAACTTGAAACTAGTAATGCACACAAACGACATATTGAGTTTAACATTGGGGATTACGTTATGGTTCGCATTAGGCCAGAGCGGCGTCTACATGGACCCGCCTCTAAATTGCAAGCTCGTAGTGCTGGTCCTTTTAAAATTTTAAAGTAGGTTGGTCCAAATGCATATATTGTTGACATTCCACCACACCTTGGTTACCACTCTACTTTCAATATTGAGGACCTTGTAGCATATAAAGGTCATTTCATTCCCTCAGATGATCCTCTGTCTTCTCCTATTGTGGACCTTGACCCTGATTCTTTGACCCCTTCTAACCCACTACCACCTCACAGCACACAAAGAAAAAATTGATGTTATTTTAGATGAAGAAACTGTGTTCACTACTGATGGAGAGGTTCAGAGCTTCCTTGTTCGTTGGGTTGGTCGACCAGATTGTGACTGTGTATGGATCTCCAGGGAGACACTACAGCAATTGGACCCAGATTTGTTAGAGTTTTATCGGAGTCAGAAGGATCCTCATTGGCCCAGATCGCCTCCCGTCCACCCGAGAGGAGTTGGTGAGGACACCAGATTCAGACCGCCACTGACGCATTTCTACAGACGCCGAAAGAAGCTTGCCCAGCCACTCAGCCTATGGTTGGGAGATTGACGGATGCCTATGGTGATATAGCCACTCGACAGGGTCGAGTTTTCTCTCCCACCCGGGGAGAATTGATGAGGACATCACAGTCCAGTTTTAATTATTTTAGCAGTTTTAATTATTTTAGTTGGATTTAGGTTATTTTAATTTTATGGACTTGTGTATTGGGCTTGGCCCTAGGTTTGCAGTATTTTCCAGTATTTAAACTTATTTTACATTGTTATTTTTCAGTTGATGAATTAATTGAATAAAGTTCGCTGCAGCCTCTACGTTTTCTCCCCCACCCCCCCGTTTTCCCCTTCTTCTCTTCTCCCCTTTCTCCTCCTTATTTCTTGTTATTCACCCTACATCACTAGAGAGTTGATCATTCACTTAAACGATTTTCAATTTTCACTTAATGATACTTGTAGAATATGTAATCATTTTTTTGTAAACTATGGTGGCAATAGTTTCAGAAAAATGCTCTCCCAACAAAGCTTGGAACGGTCCATTGAAATAATAACACATGTGATTAACGGATCCTAAGGTAAATCTTCTCACATAGTTTAACTTCCTTTATTTGAAACTTTGATCCACAATAAATCAAAACAATTAACTTTAAACATCTGCTTATCAAATTTTTAATCTAAACCAAAAGCACATAATGGTCTCTTAAATTCTTTCTTCCATTCAAAGAAAAAAGATTACTAAATTTAATTCATTCAAGTACTAATATTTTGAAATCTCGAAGGTAGCACATTCCAGAATATATAAATGAAATGATGTACAACATTGGATTTCTAAACATACAAATGCTCCCTTCTTTTGAAAAAGGAACACCATTTCAATTTCTTTAATGGATTCCAAATCTATTGTTCTTGTGCACTATACTCTCAAACAGTAAACTTCATTTTCCTTTTTCAAGCTTAACAACTTTTTGCCTCACATAACAGCTTTCTAGTTCCTTTCAGTCCCTGTACTTAAATTCTACGTGTAATCCCTACGTATAATAAAAAAGAACTCAAAAAAGGTCCCATCTAGATTTATACATAACCAACAAGAATATATTCCACCATCAAAAACTTTAGGTCTACTATCAAATTCTCCAATGCTGACTTGATTATTGAATGCTTTCCTTAGGGCTAGATCCTCATCAATGTACACATTAAAAAAATAAGTTAAATTCATAACCCGATCACTCTACTCCAACTAAGATTTTCAACTAGATCATAATTGTGCAACTCCAATCGACTCACGTCACTCTTACTCACAGAGTCCTACTAGGAGAGAGCACTAAACATTATTTTTTCATAATTATTTACAATTTCTAATTCTAAAAATATTTTTTCTTTTGAAAAGAGAAATGAATTACATTACAGTTTACACCGACATAAAGACCGTTGAAAAGTACATCAAATAGCGATCAAAACCGAATAGATCTGCTATCAAATTCTCCAATGTTGGCTTGATTATTGAATGCTTCCCTTGTGGCTAGATCGCTAGATCCTCCGCAATGTACACATTAAAAAATAAGTTAAATTCATAACTCGATCACTCTGCTCCAGCTAAGATTATCCTCTTGATCATACCTATGCAACTCTAATCGACACATGTCACTCTTACTCACATAGTCCTACTAGGTGAGAGCACTAAACTTTATTTTTTTCATAATTATTTACAATTTCTAATAATCTAAATCTCTTTTCTTTTGAAAAGATAAATGAATTACATTACAATTTACACCGATATAAATACCATTAAAAAGTACGTCAAATAGCGATCGAAATCAAATAGGTCTGCTATCAAATTCTCCAATGCTGGCTTGATTATTGAATGCTTCCCTTGGGGCTAGATCCTCAGAAATGCACATACTAAAAAATAAGTTAAATTCATAACCCGATCACTCTACTGCAACTAAGATTTTATTCTTGATCATAACTATGCAACTCCAATCGACACATAATTAAGGTAATATATGCTATCCATAATCTGTCCATAATCTTCACGATCTTATTATTAACACTTAGTGGCAAAAGTATAAATCCATTTTCTAGTTTGGACAACTCATTTTGTCAGCACTACAAGTTTTTGAAGCATTCCAGTCATATATACTTTAATGAAAATTGGACAATTGATGTAGGTTATTGGATAAATCACACGCTGAAAGGCTACTGGGATTGATCTTTGTCAAAAAAAAATTGCCAACTTAATCCTTATTTGTCATATTCTTTAAACTGCACATGGTTTATATACAAAAAGGCACCATGATTGTTTTAACTACACATAATTATTTACCATAATTTATATATGGATGTTTATAAACTGTCAGCATTTGATAAAAAGTGGAGATGATGGCAGTAAAAGCTCGTCTTCTAATACCATTTAGTGGGTCATCAATAACTTCGTCTATTACAATGCTGCCGATAGAAATTACAGTTAACAGTTCCATGGTTCAATTACCCAGGATCTTAAAATTTACATCTTTTGGACTACATTTTATCTCAAAGGCAATATAATTGGTCATCATACATACGATATGATCTGCTAAGAGATCAATTGGGATGAATAACACATTTTTACATGGCATGCTGGAGAATAATTGTGTTAATAGCATACTTTAAGAAGGCCTAATGAAGGACAATTTAGATGAATACCATGTTTTAAAATGGCCTATTTGGAGTCTGTTGGGTGGTATTGGGTCTCTGTCACCCCAAAAACTAATTCAAGAGATGAAACTTTCCCTCACACTTATACATTGAATACTGACCCCATCCACAACTGATGTAGGAAAACCTCAACAATCTCCCATTCACACATTAGGCTTTGCAGGAGACCAAACACATCTTCTCCTCCCCACAACAGGACCTGCGGGACCAAATCCATCTCTCCCTCTCACAAAATCATATCTTCGTGATTGTTGGGCCGGAGACTTGTTGATAAATCGGGCTCTGATACCAATGTTGGGTGGTATTGGGTCTCTTTCACCCCAAACGCTAGCTTAAGA